TGGTATTCCCAAGCGGTTACCCATCTAGGTATTGATCAGGCTCGACGTTTCTTAACTTCAGCAATTGTTCCAAAATCGGTATTATGGCCATACTCAGGGAGCTAGCAATCCTACCAGGATTTTTATCGGTGGGCACAATCTTAAGATGATACCGTGTTATTGGCAGACACAGAAAGAAAACTAAAGGACTTCCTATAAAATGTCGTAAAAAAAGCGGGAAGAGGATTTAAATGATGAAAAACGTGATACCGAAATGTGAAGATACCTTGCAATAGCAAAAGTTGCTCTCAAAAGCTATATATATATATATATATATATATATATATATATATATATATATATATATATATATTATAATTTTTCATATAGACAAAACAGTTTACTCACTACAAAGAGGTAACTTCGTTTCGATGCATTTCAATTGCACCTCAACTGGTGAGAAGCAAAAATGGTTATGAACAGTTCTGCTTGTAAGCAAGCCGTATGTGAAATGTCACTTCCTCGTACGGCTGGCTTACAATCAGAATTGTTCATAACCATTTTTGCTTCACACCAGTTGAGGTGCAATTGAAATGCACTGAAATGAAGTTGAATCTTTGTAGTGAGTAAACTGTTTTTGTCTATATGATAAAAGTATAATAAATAATTATTGTTCTACTATCGGTATTGAGCTCTCTTTTGAATTAATGCTGTGAACGTCAGAATTTATATATCTCATTGCATCGGATATATATATATATATATATATATATGTGTGTGTGTGTGTGTGTGTGTGTGTGTGTGTGTGTGTGAGGCACGGTGGAGTAATGGATAGCGGCTCGAATTGAGGAATCGGAGAGCCATTCGAGCCCATTACATTCATTTACCTTAGGAAAGGTATGAATCCTCTTCTCTCCCTAGCTATGGGTAAATAGCAGGACAGATTAGGTTCTATAAACTTGGATCGCAACTGGTTTAGGAGGACAACTTCTAAATTCAAAACCTGCGGAGGGTCGTTTGGGGACCTTTTGGCACTTAGTGCACCAGGTTTCTGTATTCGGCTCTTCAAAAAGTGTGGTTGGTTCTGCAAAAATCCTTTACCAATATAATCAAATCATATGTGCTGGTGTCTGGCTGTCGGTTCCTGGGAAATGAGTTGCTTGACCCTCATACGTCGAATACGACTGGAGAGTACATCTTTTATATATATATATATATATATATATATATATATATATATATATTATAAAGGTCGCCTGACGATTGCGTCTAGCATGAAACAGACTGTCGCCTCTAAGTGTTGGCTTCTATGTTCACTTTTATATATATATATATATATATATATATAAAAGAGAGTCGACTTTTTCTCTGTCTGCCTATTTATCCCTCTATCTCTATCAATTCATCCTTATCTATATCGGTACCTATCTATCTATCTATCTATCTATCTATCTATCTATCTATCTATCTATCTATGTTTGTTGTTTATTCATCTCTATCTGAGTCTATGTATGTTTACACATTCTCTCTCTTTCTCGCTATCTATCTATCTATCTATCTATCTATCTATCTATCTATCTATCTATCTATCTAATTCTATACATGACGATGTAAGTCTTCACATATCTATGTTTGAAAATGTATTTCTTTATAAATGTGAGTCTTTTCATATCTTCTCACATGTCCCTACCAATATTTCTCTGCTTTCATCACATTTTCGAATATATATATATATATATAGGTAAACAGGTGTCTGCGGCTCACAAATAACAAACAGTGGGGTAAGTTATAAAAATGCTACGACATCAAATAAACCTATCACTACCTCACGACAGGTGAACACAGATACCGAAGGGAAGGTGGAGGCCACCAGGTAAGCGAAAGGTAAATTCCATTAAGAAGTTAAAAAAACGAGAACAGATGAGTAATGGGTTAGAACCACAGGTGAAAATATTTAAGAGTGAGGGAAACTCTTCGTCGCACTCAAGACACAACAAAAATTGGTTTTAGGTGCTTGTGGGTCCCCTTGTCTCGTAAGATGGAGTGGAAGATTACCATAGAAGAGATCAAAGTAAAGCGTCTGTATTTGACTGTGAAATACACACCTTTGACGGTGTTCTCGGTGACTACAGTGCACCACTGTTGCCCTACAGGTATGAAGCCGGCATCAAAAGGACACCGCCGGAAAAGGGATCAGTAGGGGTTTTATCCAGCTGCCTTGGCCGTAGTAAAGGGAACCAGCCGTAAGCCCATTGGTTGGGCGTGGGTGGGTAGAGAACTTACAAAAAAAAAATAAAAATAAAAATAAATAAATAAATAAAATAAAATAAAAATGGGGATATATTTTTCCTTAATGTCACCTGGCTCTTTCCTGGTTGCAGTCACGTGGTTACGGGTCAACACACCAGTTTCTCAAAACATTCACTGTCACTTCCCGCCATTACAAATTGTCCTTTGTTTTCATGATTTATTTTATTTTAATTTTTTTTTACTCTTGTGTTTCCTAACAGATATCTCAGTCAGTTCATATCTACCTCACGCTGTTTAAGTGTACATAACTATATTCTTCTCAATGGGTTTGTCTATATATCTCAACCTCTTTCTTTTTTCTTTTTCTTTCTCAATCTCTTCCTTCCTTCCGTCCTTCCTTTCTTTCTTTCTTTCTCAATCTGTTTTTTTCCTATCTATCTATCTATCTATCTATCTATCTATCTATCTATCTATCTATCTATCTATCACAATATGTTCTTGGCTATCTATCTATCTATCTATCTATCTATCTATCTATATATATATATATATATATATATATATATATATATAAAATGGAAAAAAAGCATAAAAATCCATTTTCGGTAATAAATGTATATTCATCTTATCAGACCGACTACATTTTCTGAAATGGAATCAATATATCCAAACAGATATACAAAGATAAAAAAGGGAAGAAATAAAAAAAATCCAAGATGAAACAATAGCAAAAATAAGTTGACCTAGAAAATTTGTTTTGCATTATATAACTTTATCATAACTTTATTATTATTATTATTATTATTATTAGTATTGATTGTATTATTGATGATGATGATACCGTCTAAACAGACATCAATTTAACTGCCTCCTTTTTGCGGACTTTGTTTGACACATTGTTGTAACTGTTAATTTTGACCTTGCTATCTCTTTACCTTCCCTAACCCTCTATATTAACTTATTCTTTCTTCTTAATGCAAGCCCCGTATGAAAACTTTTCTAGGTCAATTTATTTTTACTATGGTTTCATTTTGATTTTTTTTTCTTTCTTTCTTCTTTTTTTTTATCTTTGTATATCTGCCTGTCTGGATATATTGATTCCATTTCAGAAAATGTAGTCGGTCTGATAAGATGAATATTTTTATATTCATCAAAATAAATTTATTACCGAAAAAGGATTTTTAACCTTTTTTTCCTAATTATTATTATAATTTGGTTTGTATCATACATTGAGCTTTCATATTTCAATTGGTATTATATATATATATATATATATATATATATATATATATATATATATATATATATATATATATATTATCAGTGTTTCTATCTATCTGTCTTCATTTGTTTCTTATCTCAATCTGTTTCTATTTATTTATCTCAATCAACTCATATCTAAGTTTACACTAAGCCTATATATATATATGTAAGCTAACACATATCTATCTATCTATCTATCTATCTATCTATCTATATATATATATATATATATATATATATATATATAAAAGTGAACATAGAAGTCAACACTTAGAGGCGACAGTCTGTTTCATACTAGATGCAATCGTCAGCCATATATATATATATATATATATATATATATATATATATATATATATATATATATATATATATTTTCTTTCTCTCCCTCTCTTGTTTTAACTATACCTGTTCCCGTCCTCTCCTGAGACCCGGCATTCGGTTCAATCATTAGGCGGGGTTATTTTCACACTGTCTGCCCTTTTTATAGCTACCGGTAGTTTCACACTTTCGACCCCTTTGGTCACCTCCTTTTCTCCCGGATCTTTTATTTACAATCCCCCAACAATTTATTTTCGGCCTCTTTCGCACTTTCACGCAACCATGCTTTCCTACAGTATATACTCGTGTGTCAGTCGAAATCACCGTGTAATTAATTTGAGCCTGCCTCATGACTGAGATAGTTGTATATTGAGAATTTGTGTCAGACGAAAACTACTCTTATAATCAAGAGCTGTTTTGTGAATTAAATTGATCATTGTGTATTTCCTAATGATAAATAGCGGACGATGAAATGGGGGCATATCTGACCTTCCACCTGTATTTCATTCGCCTGAGTGTATTATTTGTCATCGTGTCCAGAAATCGGGATTATTACGCTGGTTCTACCAGAATAAGGTGATTCCTGCTGAACAGGCAGGTGTTAACGAAAGAGAAGTTTGTGGCTTTACCTGGTATTTCCTAGAAGGTACAAAACATTGATGTCGGCTTTAACCCAAGAAGAAATGTCTTTGGCACAATTTTCAATAAGAAGGTTAAAAATATCAATCAAGAGGCATCTCGAGTAAAGTCACAAAATTAATCCCAATCAGTACGCTGGTAACAGAAAAATAAGAAGTCTTATGAATAGGATATTCCTGTCTAATAAACAACTCAAAAGAAATGAAAACAGATACTACAGCGTGATCCGAATTGCCAAGAGAATAGAGTTGTGATGTCGACAAGAGCTACGAGAGGAATGATTCGTTTTTTACGGCTTATCAACCCTATACAGGTTATTTAAAACCAGAAAATATTTTTAGATTGTAAGAATTTTTTGAGATAATAACTATTTAGTGATTCAAGTCTTACTAATTAACCCATATCTGGGAGGAGAAGATCTAGATTTCATACCTGTCCCCAAAGGTATTTGCGCCTAAGTGAATATAACGAACCCTATGCAAATTGGAACTCAGCTCTCCGATTAAAAATTCCGAGCCATTATCCATTGCACCAGCCACACATCCAAGCTTACAGCACTTGGTATTCCCAAACGGTCACCCATTTAGATACTGATTTGGTCCGGCGTTGCTTAACTTCGGTGATCGTAGCGGAACCGATGTTTCATCGTGATATGGCCGTAAGAACTCAGGAAAGGAGTTAGGTGACAAATCAAGCGAAGAAGCATATTGTTCAGAATTATTAGGGAAACGAATAGGGAAATCTATTTGACAGTGAAATTGAGAAACGACAAAATTGAAAGTTTCAATACCCCGGTAGAGCATCAGGTAAAAGTTTTGGTTTAATCTGAAAAGAAAAATAAAAGTCAGATTTTCGAATGCTGATTTTCACTGCCTGCGTGCGCTTACAAAACTGACGCAAGACCTTCTTCCTTTTTGTTAAGTTGTGTTGAAATTCTAGACTTGGTATTTCATAAGGAATATAGCGGTGTGGATTGAGAAATGGGTGTGGTCGAGATTGAATTCCAGTCGAGTTCATTACATTCACTTACGTGCAAATACCCTTGGGGAAGGTATGAATCCAACTCTTCTCTTCCTCCCTCACCAGTCGTGCGTAAATAGCAAAACAGACTGGCCCGTAAGGCTTGGATGGCAAGCGGTCTAGAAGGACAACTCTGAATTCAAAGCCTTAATGGCTTAAATAGCCTCAGCAATCCGCTGTTGATTAAACGCGGTGAGGAGGGCTACACACCTGAAGATATGGTCAGTGAGGGGCTGGGGCTCCTCTAGGGGAGTGAGAACACTCTGGATCTGCATCTGTTCTAAGGAGCTTTCATTTCTGGTACAGCGAAAAAAGGCAAACATTTTTATCTAGCCCTTTCAGGTCTCAGTTCATATCCCTACCACTTTAGCCTAACTCGCCTGTTTGACGCGTTGATGTCGAAGAATGGCTTGATGAAGGTCAAGTCAGTTAAAAAGGGCTCCCCCGGAGTTTGGGTGGATTTCTGTCAGCTAACCTGCTCTTTTTCATACCCCCTGCCTCTACAACCTCATTCCGTAAATCTCGGGAACACGTGATCTCTATACTCATTAGTGTTTTCCTGGTTGGTAGCAACCGGGGGTAAAGTGGCGGAGCTGGTGGGAATGGGTGGAGCGGGTTGGCACTTCATCACCCGCAAGATCTGTATAAACAAAAAAGAAAAGAAAACGAAACCATCCTTCACGCCATAAGACGACTTCTGTCCCGCCCACGGAGCAAAGCAAAAAGATTTTAAAGACATAAGGTTGCATGGGTGGGGAATGGGATTGGAAAAAGTCAGGTTGGGTAGGAAGCCGACGTTTAAAGCGCCCCGGAGATGGCGGGTCGATAGATGAACAAAGGAGGACAACTGATTCCCAAAAAACAAAACTGATATCAAGGATTCTCAATTAGGGCCGACGAGCAGGAATCCTTCATCCAACCCCCACTTCACTAACGTAAAAGTTCATAAATGCCATTCTGCGGCCATTGTCAGAAGAAAATTAAAACATGGATCAAACGGCAAACTTGAACCTTCATGCTCATAAAAATCGGCATTGTTTATTGTTTTAAAAAACGATAATTAGAATTGTAAGAAAACCTAAATATGTGATGAAAGTGAATTTATGTATTTTTTTAATTCTCGAAAGTTTACAACAAAAATATTAAACACTACACATTTTCGATTGTTTAGTTAAAACAATAATTTTTTTAATTTAAAACATTCTAAAAACTAATACAATGCAATGTTTATCATTTAACAATTTATAAAGAAATAAATATAAAAACATTTTTTTCATAAATTTATAAACATTTACTTAGGGACCTCTGTTTTTTTTTTCGCGAAAATAGATAGCATGACAAGAACGGTTTGAAAATTAACGGAAAACATTTTTTTCATGATAAAAGTATATTTCATTATTGAGAAGAAACACTAAAGTATTTTTTGAGTAATTTTTGAAATTTTTTACTCATTCTTAGCATTTTTACTAAATTATTAAAATATGTGAATCAATTATAAGGAAATACGTATTATTTACCATTTAATAAAGTTCAAATCAATTGGCAATTAGCTGAAATTTTGCCACCCATTCCAATAAACAGTAGGTACCTCCACAAAAACGCGATACCTAAGGATTAAAATTAATTTTTAAAAATGAAAAATCTAAGACAGAATTTTAAAAGATTTAAAACTTAATAAATTATTCTAATTAATTTTTTTAAAATTGAAAATATTTCTTGTAAAAATTAATTAATCATCGAAAAATATCTTATTCATAAAAGCAATTAAAAGCTTTTCTAATTAAATAATGACTTAGTTTTATTGCCATTTTATTTAACGATTCAAACAAAGCAAATTTTCCTTAACTAGGGATCCTGTTTTCCAAAAGAGAATTGATTATTTAAATTCTCCAAGGAATTCTTAGTAATTTTTAAAAAATTTGTTACCGCCTCGCCCCAACTTATTTAATTTGAGGAAATGTCGAGAAATTAGATATTGACGCGCTTAATGTTTATATTAGTTAATTAGAAACATTAAGCGGGTCAATATTTCATTTCTCGAAAGTAACAAAATTAAAAAATAAAATTACTATGACTTAAAAAAAAAAACTTATAAAATAATTTCATTCATTTGTTTAATAAGTCTTCAAAGTTTTATTCAAATCCTACAATTATTTGATTTGTGTAAGAATTTCGAAACCAATGTATTTTTCACCGGAAAAGAAAAACGATAAAACATCCTATACTAATCTTTGGTCCCCCCACCTCGACTGACGTAAAAACAAGGTTTTTAACCAGAATTTCGAACGTTATAAAAAGGATTAAAATATAATTTAATAATTGAAAATTCCTTTGGTCTTTTTTTTTAATAATAACATAAAGATATTAACGTAAAACTTTGTTTTTATTAAGTTTGGCGCATTTTATAATCCTAGTATGTGATTTTTTTAGTGAATCAATGGAGGGAACTAATTAAACAGTATAAAAAATAAATAGTGTTCATTATTTTTGTTGTCAATTTTCAAGAACAAAAAAATGTATAAATTCACTTTAATATGTTTAGGTTTTCTTATAATTCTAATCACCGCTCATTGCCGAAGAGTAGAGGTAGTTAAAATAATAGGGGTGTCAATGGAAAAACCGTTTCACATTCCGTTATTTTTTTTTTTTTTTTTTTTGCAGACATGAAGATCCAAGTTTGCCAAGCAAGCATAATCATGTATGCGTGACATACAACAAAAGCATGAACGGGATAGATAGATAGATATCGACAGTAATATAGATAGATATGTAAATTGACTATAGATTACAGTATATTCCGGTTAAGTGGGACGTCTGTCCTGATTAAACGAAGCAGCATAGAAAAATTCAAAGGCATACATTTTCAACTTTACCAGACGATTTGACTGGAATCACTTTACAGATTCGAATTGATTGATTTTTTTTACGGCTTATCAACCCTTTGTGAGTTATTTAAAGCCAAAATATATTTCGCATTGTATAAAGTTGCTTACAGTATCCAGTTTTCCCAAGCGGTCCTCCAATTATTGAGTGGGTTTCAGGCAGCTTAACTTCTGTGATTGGACGAAAATCGGGCATTTCTGCGTGATTTGACCATAGGCACATACATTCGTCGAAAAACACATACATACACACACATACATACATACATACATACATACATATAGATGTATAATAACATAATATTAGTATCTGAAAGGGTAAAAAAGGTCATCTTTACTTTAGAAATGCTATTTTTTAAAAATCTATTACGGAGAAACATCGAGAAAGAATATCAAACCATATATTAATTATCAATGTGTGTTTATTTATATATTTCCTGTCCCATCTGTAGTGGGAAGGGAGGTAACTTCACTTAAGTTAGTAAATTTGTTAGTGTTTACTTCCCTTAATAATTTTAATTATTAAGGGAAGTAATAATAATTTTAATAATCTATACAAATAAGATATTTATCTGCATTTAAACAAAATTAGTTCCCAAGCAAAACGAACTTTTAATTAAACAGTTCCTTTACTCCTACATTTCTTAGATTTCATGTGAGGCACTCAAATATTTCTGTCTATTAAGTTATCGTCATACTTCAACTTGGTATTGAAATATTCTTTGTCGTCGCCGTCTTTGTCGTTTGGTTGCTAATCTTTGACGGCACCAATAAAATAGTTAATAAATAACTATGAAACACTCTTCGTATAACCAATAGACGGAAAACCTATATATAAAGAATATATGTGAACCATACATTTGCAGATATAACTTGTATTACACATTCACAACATTTAGGAAATATTCATCATATGATTAAAATATTCTTTGTATCGTATACCTTCAGTTTGTTGACGATCATGGCTCGCCACAATTTCCTGTCTTTTATAACTCTTAGTAAATTTTGTCTTTTTGTTATCTTTTCTAAAGCCTGTTTTGCCAACGATTTACACAAGCTCGTTATGACTATAGTGACCGTGATCCTCATTTTTAGCCTTGTGCCATACTAAAAACCTACTAAAATGACTTGCTGGAGAGTAATAATCCCCAAGCAAGTCTCGCAGGCCATCACGAGAGTAAGATGTTCGCTATTCCAAACAAATATCCTCCATTTTCTTTTTTTTATTTTTTTCTGCTTCAATGTATCGTTCTTCAGGGCGTTGGCGATCATGGTTCTCCACAATTCCTGTCCTTCGTAGCCCTTTGTTAACTTTTCTTTTTGATATATTTCCTAATCCCTTTTATTCCAATGATCTACGCATGCTCATTAAGTAGGATATGCACTGTTTTCCTCTGTCACTCTTACTTTTAATGCAACTTGTGAATGCCAAATTTAGCAAGCCTTCTTTCCTGATTATGTATCCTAGAAATTTCAACTGTCCCATTCTGGTGTTATGTATAAGTGTCCTTTTTGCTTCTATTTTCTTTAAAACCATCGTCGCTGATCACATGTTCAGTCCATGCTATTCTCACTATCCTTCTGTAGAAACACAATCCTGCTGTTTCAAGTCTCTTCTTCATATGTGAGGTGATCGTCCAACATACAGTGCCACATAGGAGGACAGATATTACGTAACAGTTCAGTACTCTTTTTTTTTCGAACGAATTTTAATAAATATTTAAAATACGTTGACATTTCAAGAATTAGACAAAGACAGA